CGGTCAGATCTGATTGGCTAGAAAGGCTTGATCAATTGCCACCCGATGAGCTTAACTTTGCACTTCCATCGACCAACGCCAAGAGTCAAGCAGCGTGATGATGAGTGAAGACGATGAGACGATGGTCTTAGCTACCATTATGCAACAGCGAATGGACATGCTTGACTCAAACCCTGAAATGGTTGAAGTTACCAGCAAAAACTATGATGTAGCTGCTCGTGCAGCTGAAGTCCTCCGAAGACATTATATCATGGATACTGCTCATTCTCCAGCCAAGCCTGCTACACCTCGTCCTTCTGCTCCCATCATTGCAAGCACACCGCTTGTGCCTGGCGCATTTCCCGGTTCCAGCAGCCATCTTCAGGATGATCGGAAAAGGCAAAGATGTTTAGCAAACATGATGCGAAAGCGAATGGACCTGTTTGACTCAAATCCTAAAATGGTTGAAGTTACCAGCAGAAACTATGATACAGCTGCTCGTGCAACTGAAGTCCTCCGAGCATATCACAATTGTGTGCCACATACTTTCTTGGAAAATGATTTCGATATGGATACCCGCACTATCACATATTTGGATGGATCTCAACTTCAGGATGATCCGGAAAGGCAAAAAAAGCAAAATGTCACTTCTGGGATGCTGGATCTCACAAAATTCTCAAATGCAGATTGGACACGATTGATTGGTTTTGTTGATGCCAAGATCGTGGCTCATGCCAACAATCTTCGTGAAGAACGGGAAATTGGGAAAGGCGAGGCATACCTATCTGCATTGAAGAGTCTCAACCAATCTGACATCGTGATAGAATTCTTGGAGGAGAATGAAATTCTCGATCATTCTGAACTTCACGAATGGTCAAAGAAGCTAATGAAAAAACGCATTTTCGTCTTGCTGAAGAATGCCCTTGAGGAGCTGCAAAAAAGATATCCTGATCTGGATGTGAGTGCTGTGACGATTGAATATGTTGCAGAGGAGGAGGATGACACTTCTCCTGCTACACCATTACGTCAGGACAGCACAATCGATGATAGTGGAATTGCAGAAGTTGCTCAAAGTGTACCGTCAAAGATGATGAATGGGAGCACACCAGCAAATCATAGCTCGCATCTTAAAGAAGTAACATTTGCCGATTCACTGGAAAGAGGCCCGCAAAGTATCTATCCCGCTTTGCCAAGAGAACACAGAAAGCGCAACCCGAGCGCTATGGATGAAACAGAAACAACAGA